TGTTCAATATAAATTTACCAAATATATCAACAAAGAAAAAAAATAAAAAAAAAATGCAATAATTATTTTTTTTTTTTAGTATTTTGAAATGCAAAGGACAAACACATTACGCCAAATCATGTTTCATTTTGACCATTTGAATGTCATGATCGACAGTGGATGCCAAAAATGGTTTGTCTCATCATTTTGGCAATTAGAATCGATAATGAACACATAAATGAAAGTCACAACTTTGAAAGTGAATATTACCTATTTTCGTAAAAAACTTTCTCATCCTTTCAAAGTTACAATATTTTTTATTATTATTATTTTTTTAAAAAAAAATAATAAAAATAAAATAAAAATGTCAAAATCATTAATTTTTAATTTGAAAATAAAGATCTTCAAAATAAAGCGTTAACGCATAAATCGTATATCCAATGAGCGGAATCATAATGAAAAAGTTAGATTCTTGGGAGATTCGGTCTTATCCCTTGTAATTTCAAATTATTTGTATAAAAAATGTAAAGATGAAGGGGAACTATGATGAAAGCAAAATTAGTTTGCAAACAAACTTTGGCAGAGTTTGCGTTACGTTTAAATTTAGAATCAAGGTTGAAATTTGGCAAAGGTGCTTTAATTACCAACGAAAAGATTTTGGAAGACGCTTTTGAAACTTATATCGATGCCGTATTTTTAGATTCAGATGAAAATTTTCTAGAAGTAATGAATTTTATGAAACCTTTGTTAGAGCTAAAAGTTGAGCAACTTCTCCTGGAAAAAAAGAATGCACAACAAAATGATACTTTAAACCTTAATCGGTCCTCAGGATGTATCACTTATGACTTTACCCCTTGAAGATCCAATTAATAAACTTCAAACTTGAAAAAATTTTGGTTTACCTAAATATACTTTAGTTGAAAATAAAAAAGTTGAAAATAAACATAATCAACCTCAATTTACTTTTGAAGTGGTCATTAATGGAATTACTTACTCTCAAGGGACGGCAAGAAATAAATCGGAGGCTAAAGAATTAGCTGCCATCAACACCCTAAATTTAATTGGTGATACTGTAAAATTTATTAAATGATTTAGGATATGAAGTCTTTTTTGTATGTTGAGATAAGAAATTTTTTTTATCACTTTTGATAATTTTTATACATTTTTTTTAAAAAGTTATTAATAGTGCTCCGAGCCGGTCGAATCGACCCGGGTCATTTGACCCGACTCGAGAAAAAATTCGAGTCGGGACTATCATTT